CCTTAGCAATATGAATTCAAAGAAATTCTAACTTTTTTTTGTTACATTATACATATATGAGCATGATTTTTTTTTTTGTGATAATAAATTATTACCTTGATCATCAGTACTTGTATAACTTATTTTTCTCCATTATATTTTTGTTGTCCAAATAACTTTTGATATTGGTTGTAACACTGCCCTAGATCTTGATAAAGAGGCTAAGGTACATACCAGTAGTTTGTCCACCTTGCCTCGGACAACCCCAATACTCTCTTGATCTTTATCTGACAGTTTTCTTATCCCTGATATTTTAGCCTGGGCCTTTGTCATCCAGGATGATAAAACTGCTGCCTCTGCATTAAATTGCTCCATTTGCTGCCCAATGGATTCCAACCTGCAAAAGAAAAGATACATTTGCTATGATTAATTTGTAATCATTGAGTGACTTTGAAAAAAAATGACATAGTGACATTACAAAGGAATATTTTTGCTCTTACAAATTTAAACTTGTTTAAATGACATTAACTGACAAAAAATATTACATCTCTGATAAATAAGAGCAACATATAAACTTGGCAAAATACCCCACTTGAGGCTGCACAAGGTCAGAAAAACTTATTATACAGCAGAACTTTTCTTATAGTTACTGTAATTTCTGGGATCAAATAGTGCTTAATTGAAAAAGAATCTGGACAAAAAATCATATAATTTTCTTAAAAGAACTTATCTTAAATTTTGACTATACATGTAGGTAATCTAATAATTAAGAGAACCATGTCTATTAACACTTGTATGACTTGTCTACACAATTTACCTTTTCAATTCATTGCTGACTTCTGAGTTCAAATTAATATATCTATCAGCAAGATCTGATGTATCCTTTTCAAGGGGTGCACAGTTCACAGAATGCAAAAGCTGCTTTGCTTTATCAACAAACTGAAACAGAATGGGTCGCTCCTCATTCAAGTCCTTTTGTAACTGCTTGTAAAGAGTTATCCTTTCCTGAATCAGTGGAGAAGACTCCATTTTAGATGCAGATTTTGGAATTTGGTTTTCAATCCTATCCAAGAACTGCTGCAGCTTGACGTAGCTTTGATAGATGTTTGTCCACTGTCTTGCCGTTCTCTCCAGTTTTTGTCCGATCAGACTGGCCTTATCTAGTAAGACATGTGTCTGGTTGTTTAGCTGTGAATGTTTACTAAGATGTTTCTGTCGGACAGCCTGGTTTGTTTGAGCAGCAAGGCTATCCAACATTGCCCTGTGTACTTCCAGATCACTAAAAAAATCCTGTATTAAAAAAATATTAATGATAATTAACAACAATGCTCATTTGTATGATATGCTATACTTGTATAGTCAAACCTCATTATCTTGAATGTGCAGTCAAATCTCACGTATCTTGAAAGTGGCAGGGCCAAGTGAAAACTTTGAGAATATCTAAGAACTTGAGATAATAAAGTTAAAATACATGATAATGTAAAAAGTGGTTGGAAATTCCAACTCACTTCTATATATCCAGTTTTTGAAATATTGAAGTTCAATTAAGAATTCTTAAGTTCAACTGTAAATTTACATTTATGTACAGAACGTAAGCTAAAATGAATATCAAAATATTACCTGATGGGATGCAATCTGTTTCTTCAGTTCTTCAAGGCTAGTGACTGACAAAGTTTCAATCTTGACTTTTTCCTTTGCTGTTTCCAGGAACTCGGCGTAATCTTTCAACATTTTCTCGTACTGTTCCTGTGCCGACACTGACTGTAAAATGTCTGCCTTCCTCTCAGTTACCTTTGTAAATAGAAATTATGTAATTTGTAAAAATTATTAACACTTCAAAATGCACATCTGTAAAGACAATGAGCATAATTTAGATGATCAATGAATTCTAACTAGCAAGTTGTAATTTCAGATTTCTAATATTAGTTGCTGCTAATCTTCTGGAGATTCCTTCATTAAACCAGAGAATAAAAATGCTAATATTTTTTTAAATGATCAATACAACTGCCTGAAGAATACAATGATGATGAGTCTGGATTTTCATATATACATGTACATTTATTATTTTTTTTTTTTATTTTCAGTGGAATGAGTTTCAAGGTATTGTTATACAATGGGATATTTACATGAAGGATTTCTTCTCCATTAGTTAGAGTAAATAACTCCACAGGTAAATTTCTCCATTTACAGCATCTTACCATTTGTTTTATTTCTGTAAGCTGGCTGTTGAGAGATTTCCAGTCTGACGGTGGAATTCTTACAGATGTTGGAGAAAACAAAGTATCTTCTCTTTTCTTGAAATCTTCAAATTTGGACTCCAGTGTCCCTAATTTCGCCTCTAATTTCTGTATTTGTAATGAAATATTAATATGCAAATAAAAAGGAAATGCCCAAATAAAAATCATATTTCTATGAAAATAAACTTCAACGCATTTTTGTACATGTATTATGAAATATTTATTCCAAATTTTTATTAAAACCGATAATATCATTCTAACAATTGCTAACCTGCATAGCCGAAACATGTTGATCGGCAGGGAACAAAACTTTAAATCTGGATATCTCTTTGCTCAATTCTGACATTTTTTCTTGTAGATTTTTCAAGTCCTCCTAAAAAAAGACAATGCGCATATGACTCACTGTTAAACTTAGCTCAATGCAAATGAAAATAAAGGTACTGAATATTTCACAGTATCAAAATATTTTGCCACACCAAGCACAGTAAATTAATCTTTTTTTCACCTTATGCTCTTTCATTAGACTGTATGAATCTGTCAGTTCATCTGCTTTAGATTGGGCCTTGTTTTCAATCATCTGAACTCTCCTATCAAGATTTTCCAGACTTTGTTGAATGAGGCCCTGACTCTCCAGATTGGCAGCAGACAACAAACCCTGGGAGAGATTCCCCATGGCTGATATATCACTTTGTAGGGATCGGATTTCATGCTGAAAAGCCTGTCAAAAGATTTGCCAAAATAAGACTCCATTACCAACTTGAAATTTATCTTGCTCAGACTCCTAAACAGAATTAAATAAATTTGTATGAATTTGAATTGAATGAATGAATGCATCAAGAAATGTTTTCTTTTCCTACCTCACTGTCCTTCAGCATTTCATCAAGGTCATAATCCGCATCCGGATTAAACAACCTCTGCTCAGCCAGATCCAGCCAGGAGGAAACATCCTGCAAGGCATCCTGATAATTCTGCTGGAAGCTGAGAGCATTATCCAATCGTAGCTGCTTGTCCTCACACTGATGTTGAAGCTGATGCCAGAAACCTAACAGATCTGACAATTTCTTCCTGACATCCACAAGTTGATGCCCTCTGTGCTGAGGAGGGCTCCATCCAACAGTTGGCATACTGGAATCCTTAAGTTTAAATAAAAGAAATGAGAATACTGAATATATGCAACAACTTTACTAGCATTAACCAAGATAAGTTGAAAAACTGGGTCACAATTTAACAAACTTCAATTTGCGCTACAAATATAGGATGCCTTCATATAAATTAAATGCACTGTGGTCTTGATGTTTTTTAATACACATTTTATTTGTTACCGGAAAGTCCAACTCCTTTTTATCTAGCATGTCCTCCAGATTCTGCCTTTTATGAGCAAACTCTCTGTGAATTTTCTCCCACCTCCGATCAAGTTTAGCCTCTCTGTTTCCTAAAACCTCTGGTAATGAAGGTCTGAGATTTGGAACTTCTTTTGAAATATGATGCAGAAGTTGTCTGTGATCAGAAATATCTGATTTGAGTTTCTGAAATAAAATATAATAAAACAAGTATTAATTCAACATTACACTTACATGCCTTTTATGATGAAAGTTTGAAAAAGTTTGTTTATACATATATGTATAATCATTTGGGATGGGGGGGGGGGAGGTGGAATAAATTCAAAATTTTCTTCAGTTCATCTGATTATTTTCTAAAAAAAAATTATTTAATTACAGCTAAAATATGATCCACTGTAAAACTAGATTGATTTGATTGAAGGATAAGTCATAAGATTTATCAATTATTTTTAATTGTACATAACATCTTAAAATGTTTTGCTATGTGGTTATTCTAAGAATACCTGTTGAAGCTCAGCATGATCTGGCGAAATCAAACTCTCCATACTTTGTGATGGTAACGTCATGTGCCTTGTCTCTGTTACCCATGCCTGAAGTTTCTGAAGGCTATCTTCATATTCATTCATCTCTCGTTGCCTTTTTTCACTTTCTTTCACTGCATGTCGTAAGTGACCTTGCTTTTCTATGGTTGCTAATTTGAGAGCACCAAGTTTCTTTTGTACACTGGACAAATGTGAGCGTAGTTTTTTGGCATTTTGAGGATTTTCAAATTGGCACAGTTGGTCACATTGAACAGCTAAGTCTGGGATTGTTTGTAACCTTTTGCTTACTTCTTCCTGCAATGCCTGAAACATATTTTCTTTCATCAGTGATCAGCTGATTCTTTCAGATACATGTATATTGCATGTACATGTACGATCACATGAAGTAACTGAAACTGTATTTATTTTCATTGTCAACAACTTTCAAAGTGCATTAACTATCAAAGTTTATTAACTTAAACACATGTTAAAGTTGAGCAACTCAAGCTTATATTAACAACATCAAAATGCATTAAATAAGACTTCGTGATGAATAAACCTTTGCACACTTATGATTTCTACAATTGAACATAAGATCAAAAATTTTGTATAAAACCTTATCATCTTCCAGATTTTTTCTCAAAGATTCTGCTTTTTCTGTTGCTAATGGTGTCTCTGACATTTGCATTTCTTTTTCGGCAATCCATTCCTCTATATCGCCCAGCTGTCTCTGGTAAGCTGATTTTGCTATTGCATGCCTCTCTCTATCTTTAACAAATTCCTGTGAAATTTTGCAAATTGTATTTTATATTAGTCATCTATCCCACCTGGCTTACTCAACATTCGAAGAGTAGAAAATTTCCCCCATTGTTTATGGGTAGACAGATAACACATTCATCTAGAATTTTATAGTAGAGCCTTACTTGTAGTTGGTTGCCTTTTATGTCAGCCAAAGTCTGTAGATTTTCCACCCTGTCAGAGAGTATGGTTAGAGTTGACTGCATAGTCTGTAAGCCATCTTTGTCAGATGGATCTACAAGATGTCTACCTTGCTCTCGAAGGTGGATTATGTCCCCTTTTACTTCATCAATACTATGTAGAATTTGCTTTAAAATAAAAAGCAGCTCAAAAGTGACAAATTAACAACTCTATGAAATTAATTACCCCTTACAACCCTTCTGTTATATAATCTGTCAGTTAGATTTCTCTCTTACTGTATGTACATGTAATCAATACGTTTTATAATAGTGATTTCCCATTAAGGTACAATTAAGCACACAACTGCTTGGATGTCAGTTGAAGAAAATGTTTATGTAATGGAGAAGAATGTTTGATGCCAAGGAATCAAGAGGAAAAAATGACAGACATGCATTGCAGTGGTGATTTTGACCAACCTGAAAGTCAGCAATGTGTTTGTCCACATCAGAAGTTACACCCATCTCTCCACAGATACTGATATGTAATCTGTCAATCTGTGCATTCACGTCTTTGACAGCTTCCTGGAATTGTTTCTGATTTTGTAGAGCACTTAGAAGTTGTTGTTCTTTGCTACCAAGCTGCAAAACAGAACACATTTTATTCATAATAAACACAGATAAAGCATGAGACTTGAAGTATTACTTCTATGTCTCCCTTTTGTTAAACTTCCATATACCAAAACAAAACAAAAAATTCATAGAATTATGTATCCTGTAGTCTACCTTTGTACCAAGTTTTACTGAAATCAGATCTTAAATGTAGATATACGGTAGTTTCAATTTGAAAGAATTTAAATGTCTAGTAATCACAGTAACACTGTTAATCGAAATTCAAAATTTGTATCATGTTGAAGTCTCCTTGTGTAAGAGGTATAATTAAATTTAAACATATACTGGAAGAGGAGAAGTATCATTTTGAAAATATTCCACCAAATTTTCTGATTTTAGTATCCATGCCAACATTGTTCATCTAAATCATAAGTATATAAGTATTATCATGTATATACAGTTGAATTTTGGTATCTCGAACACCAATTTCTCAAAACCCATGGATATTTAAAAGTAATCTGGAAGTCCCAACCACTTATTCTTTAAGTATTTTACCCTTGAAATCTCAGATATCTCAAAGTTTTTTCTCATCCCATCGAATTAGAGATAACAAGGTTTGACTGTATGTACCTTTAATAATATCTGCAAATATTGTGTAAATGATGTCCATACCAGTGATATCAGGGTCATACACATGAACATGTACCTACATGTATGTAACTGAATCACATTTATGTGATCTTCACATGTATTATTTGGTTCATATGTATAGATGTACTTAAAAGCATGGCTTACATAGAGATTAGGATAAAGGCCTGAATGGGAAAGGTATTAATTTGAAAATTTCTATGAAGTATGCATACATACATTTTAAATGAATAATCTTGGTCTTTTGACCTTGATCCTTGGTAAATAACCTAGGATCTTTATCATATTTTATCATCACTATTTAGTAACAAAAAAAAACAATAGGCCCATGGGCCACAACGCTCACCTGAGTCAATATGGCTCTGCTGTTCTTCCTCAGCAGATTTCTTCTCCTATATATTCATATATAAAGCTTTGATTGCCTGTTCTAGGCATACCCTACCCCAAGGTGCCATGTTTTAAATGAAATTGAATATAAACCTTCTGAGGATGCTTCTATCTTCATATAACTAATCATGATTTTGCTGTTCTTTAAAACAGAATTTTAAATATGTCTAACACCCTACCATGGGGGGGGGGGGGGGGGTTGTTCATGATTTGAACAAACTTGAATGTACACTAAATGAGGATGCTTCCATATCAATATGACCGATCATGGCTTTGTTGTTCTTGAGATTGAAGAAGATTTTTAAAGATATTTCCTGTATATGTTCTTTTGTAAAACTTTGATCCCCCATTAGGGCCCCACCCTACTACTGGAGGATGCCTTGAACAAGCTTGAATCTACAATATTTGGGGATGATTCCGTATCAATATGACTAATTGTGGCTTTGTTGTTCTTGAGAAGAAGATTTTTAAAGAATTTTCCTATATATTCCTATGTAAAAATTTGATCCCCCATTGTAGCCCCACCCTACCCCCGGGGGTCGTGATTTGAACAAATTTGAATCTACACTACTTGAAGATGATTCCATATCAATATGACTAATTGTGGGTTTGTTGTTCTTGAGAAGAAGATTTTTAAAGATTTTCCCTATATATTCCTATGTAAAACTTTGATCCCCCATTGTGGCCCCACCCTACCCCCGGGGGTCATGATTTGAAGAAAATTGAATCTACACTATGTAATGAAGGTTTCACATAAGTATAAACTTTTCTGGCTCAATGGTTCTTGAGAAGAAGATATTTAAAAGATGACACCAAATTTTCACCAATTCTTAATTATCTCTCCTTGAAAGAGGGCGTGGCCCTTCATTTGAACAAACTTGAACCCCCTTCACCCAAGGATGCTTTGTGGCAAGTTTGGTTGAAATTGGCCCAGTGGTTCTGGAGAAGAAGTCGAAAATGTGAAAAGTTTACAGACAGACGGACAGACAGATGGACTACAGACAAAATGTGATCAGAAAAGCTCACTTGAGCTTTCAGCTCAGGTGAGCTAAAAATCAGTAGATTTGATTTAAATTCAAGTTCTTGAGTCAAACAAAATTTGAATATTAAATGTCTTATGTTCATATCAGTATTCTTAACAAAATACAAATTTACTTTAAAATTTTCAATGAACAAAGTCAAGTTCATGGTATCAGTGCAATTTGAAGACCCTCCTTTATCAAAGCAATCTGAAATCACTACATTACCTGCATCTGCAGTGTATTCCATGATGAATTAAGTTCAGCCAACTTAGAATCTCTAGTACCAGAAGAATGGCCAACAAGCAATGGCCTGGCTTTAGAATCGAAAGATGCACTGCGTTCTCTAGGCAGTTCAAGATGAGCAGCGAGCAAATTAGGCACACTGGTAGATACACCCTGAACAGGTTCAAGCAGTTTGTGTTAGTAGATATTAATATGTAAAAATATTATTTCTACACAACCAAATTCATAATTCAAAATCAAAGATACAAATTTCATGCACTCCTACTGAAATAAATACAAGATCAATGTTTATTCTCAGAAAAGAGAAATAAATCAGGCATAAACTCCATGATGCATTTACTGACAGAATCTGATGATTATTACTGATATACTGAACACTATCAGTCATGCCAATGAATTCAAAACAAAGCATGTTACCACATTTATTTATTCACTTTGAATCCCTACTCCTGTGCATTAATATAAACATTGATATTGATGACCAAGTCCATTATTATTATTTCTATTACCGTAACTGGATCCAAAGCTTTTAGAGTAGCTTTGATAGGCTGCCTTGCTGTGACTTTTTCTCGTTTCTGACGTTTGAACTGTCTCGGACTCAGTGACAACATTTGCGGAGCGCTGTACTTTTTAGGCTGGATCAGTTCGTCATCACACAGAGCTGTTGGAGAAGGAGATCTGCTTCTCACTTTCTGAACAGAGGGAACTGATCTGTTTAATCCACGTTCACTCTGTTTGCTTAGAAGGTTCGAAAAATTCTCTTGACTTAGTCTCGGTGGATCCCTCTCCATCTTTGACCCGTCGAAAACATCCGCGGAGCCGATACCATGAATTGTATCACTTGATCGCTCAGCCATTCTACGAGCAGAAAGTGGGGAAAGCTGTCCTGCAGGAAACAGCAGAGGACTACTTTTCCATGCTTTTCCTGTTTGTCTGTGTAGATCTTCAGGGAAAGAAGGAGTGGTAGTTGTGGTAAGACTTCGAGGTGTAAGGAAGACACCGCTGTCGGGGTGGTCAGAATCAGAGTGTACAGGAATCCGCATAGAGGAACTGGAGCTCAGGAGATCCTGGTCAGGAAGTCTACTGGGAAAATCCGGTTCACTTTTCGCCATAAGCCTTTTACTCTTTTCATTGATGTTGTAAATTCTATCTTGGTACTGTTTAATCTGAGCTGCTAAAGCCTACATTGGATGCAAATAAAATATATTCAAGACATGCAATAGGTAACATGCATAATTTCAAAAATGCATCTGAGTTATAGTACATGCATAACAATACTGTTAACATATGCAAGTATAAATATTCATAATATTGACATGCAAATGCTTATTTATAATGAGCACTAATCACACATGGAGAGCATGAAATATGGCCAAACATTCAAAGAGTAAATAGTTTTTAATATTCTTTCAATAAAATTAAATTCCAAAGATTTATTTTCAATTAAAATGAACACATAAGATTTTGTGCCTTAGCATTAAGGATTTCAACATTTTCAGAACAAGTTTTCTTACATTATGTTCAGAAATCTGTTTTTTCAGTGAGCCCATATCAGTGCCTTGTACAGGGGAGGACAAAAGTTTGTCTTGAGCCTCATAAATTTCTGCAGTCAGGGACTGGACTTCTGTCTCAAACTGTTCTTGTTGATTCGCAGCCTCCCGTAGCCTCCTGCATCGATCACTTGCCTCCTGTTGGAGTTCATCTATCTCGGCTAAAAGTGATATATCAGGGTGCTTTGATAGATCACCGCTGGAGGACAGTACACCAGAACTCTGTTCCAATATCTCCTGAGCTTTTTCTCTATGAATTTCAATGTCTGCCAACATTCTCTGTAGGAATATAAGCAAGTCTGGATCAGTGACAAATAAAATAACATCTCATACAGTTAAACTTAAGTATCTTGATATTTTGAACTTCATGGAAATGTCTGAGTTTAAAGTCCTAACCACTTTTATTTATATATTTTGACCTCACTATCTTGAATCCTTGTATATATCAAATATTTTTCTCAACTGAGTTTGAGATAATGAGGTTTGACTGTATCTCAATGAACTGTTAAGTTCATTTTAAATTATACACTCCTAATGGAATGCATTTGTAAGATGAATTTCCATGCAGTCATTATGATGTGCAATGCTTACTATCCAAATTATCCATTCTTTATGATCAAGTCACAGCATCTACATTATCATGAGTAAATGTTTTGTTTCAAATATTTCTACACTGAGAATCAATGTATGTCTCAGACCACAAGTTCTCGAAAAATTAGGATTTGAAGACGAACTTTAAAATTTGTTCACTAATGCCTCACGAAAACCATGAACCCAAATTTTATTATCCCTTTATAAGAGCTATGCTTTACTTAATAATTCTTTTTAGAATCTTCATAAGTACAGTAGTTCTAGAAAAGCAGAATTCTAATGAATTAAGCCTATTTTTACTTTTCTTACTTTATTTAACCCCCTTGGTTCTTTATTTTAACAAACCCTACCTCCTGTTGAGCTAACTGTTCCCTCAGACAAGTACTTGAATTCCTCACAGGTAAATGTGATCGAGTCTCCTCCATCCACCTCCTCAGATCTCTGAGGTCCCTCTCGCATTCTTCCAAGTGACCTACAGAATCTTCTAGAACTCCAAGTTTGTCCTTTACATCTGTGTGTATTTTAAACATTTGCTGATTTATCCTGGCAAGTTTATCCCTTTCTCTGCTTGTATCACATATTGGTTCCATCTGTCTGAAGATGCTGCCTAAATAGTCCACTTTGTTTTGGTTCTGGTCACTTTCTTTTGATAGTTTCTTAAAAATATACGGTAATTGTCAGTCATTTAGATCAACAATTAAGTCTAACAAGTAGATTTGAAAGAGTTACTGTAAATAACTTTTTATTCACTAGAACTTAACTTTCGCCTAATTACACAAGACCGTCAACTTGTGAAATTTTTCTTCACACACATATTCTTTTTATAATGAAAAAGATTACATCCAAAAAGCACCAAAATTAGTGAAAAAATTTTCTCACTTAAAAATACCAAATAAATTTCTCGCGAAAATAAGATACATGTATTTTGAAAATTTTGTGACCTGCAGTAGTTCTACTGTTTGCTATTGGTCTGATATGACGTGCTACATACCAAGTACAATTTCATGCGTTCTTTTATTCCGCTATCCTCTGAAGTACTCATAACATTTTTAGCAGAATTCAACCACTCTTGTACGGAATGTGCCGTGTTTTGAAAATCCCTGGAAAGCTTCTCAGCTTCGTTCAACTCTCCACCTCTTTTAGCGAATTTTGCTTGAAGATTTAGCCACTGCTGGTTGATATCTTTGAGAGACTTTTGCACGGTCTGTTTTTCTACTGGATCTGTTGAGTGTTTGATGAGATCACTTCCTTTCTGTCTCAGGTGGTCCAAGACAGGTTTGAAGGTTTCAAACTCTTGTGACAATTGCTAGAAAAATAGAAAAAAAATTGAATGTTTGAAAATTAAAATAAAAGAAAGCACACACACACATACTTTTAAATTAAATATTCCTCAACAAAAATAGATCAATACGACAAACATTAACTTTCATCAATTATGGTTATGGATGTAATTTCACAGTCCTGCAACTATTTAACCTTTTAAACAACCTTTACAAACTACACTGAACATTTTATCCCAAAAAGACCAAGTCGTCAAAATAAAGAATGAATTACATAGAAGAGAGCTTAGCAAGCAACACGATAACATATTTTGTTCATATCAGGTGCTGCTCCATTCTACCCGACTGATTTCTAAATCCTTCAGATCTTGTGTGTGTTTACTGCCAACATAGTATGTGATAGAATTGTCCAATGAATGAAGTCCCTATAAAAGTTATTGATAACAGGCACTACCACGTTTGAACCATATCAAATAAAATTCTTCAAACTCCTTTTCTATATTTCCTGTGCCTTGTATCTGCAAATTCATTATATAGATCTATTTTCTCACAAACCGCTTTGAAGACAAAAAAAGTCTTATTGACAAACTTTAAGGGTTTTTAAAAAATCTTTTTAAAAAGTCTGAACACTAATTGTTAAGGAATGTATTGATTTTACAAACAAAAGTGTGTTTTTCTTACTATTTTCAATGTTATAATCAATTGACAAAAAAGTTCATGCTGAAAAAATTAGTAGTCAGTCCTAAAGTAACAAGAATGACATTTAAAACATTTGTATTCCAAACACAGAGTAATTCCTTTTAATTGTAGGAAAAATGTCCTTTATAACATTCAATTTGTAGAGAGAGAGAGAGAGAGAGAGAGAGAAAGAGAAGGAGAGAGAGAAATCAGACAAGAAGTAGGTATAAGGTTAAGATCAGGGATTCTGATTGAAATGTCATTAACTTGATGTCAGGCCATTAACCTGATATCAGTGTATAGTTATACAATATACAGTATTAAAAAAATAAATTAATGAAACATTATCAGGAAAGGTAAATTTAAGGTCATAATTAATGCCTGGAAGGTCAACAAATTCCAATCTGATTGAATAAATTCTATGCCTTGTTCACTTGGTGAGTTTATTTGGAATTAAACATAAGTTACTGCAAATTAAATTTAAACCATGTTCATAGGGTAGAATTCAATGCAAATTGGTTTAATTCGAATTAATTTGCTGCGCATCAATATGCTTCTTATTGACTCTGTGTGAAGAGTAAGCAAAGCTAATTCTAATTAAAATTTGACGCATGTGTAATAGCAAAATTAGGCAACTTGCCACATGTTGATGATCAGATATCAGTACTTATGCTATTTTTGAGTGAAAAACAAAGAAAAGTTTATCACTAAAAATGTATACAAACACTACTGTGGAATCATCATTGTCCATGGGAGATCAATATTCATGGATTTCGTGGGTCACCCTTACCCACAAATTTACATCCCCACGAATATTTATTTTGTAAACCTATTGATTCATTGAATCTACTGCATAAACGAATAACCCACAAAATTACGCCCCACGAACAAGTAAAATTTTGCTTGCTCACAAGTCACAAACATTGGTCCCCATGAATAAAATAATTCACAGTATGCCATTATGTTAAATATAGATCTGCTCTGCATAAGGTGACGTGATTTGCAAATGATGTCTTAATTGCCTTAATTACTATATAGAAATAACATTTTAATTCACATTAGTTTTCTTGACTGTTTTGTGAACGCAGTTGAATTTGCATTATTTTACTAAGCATTAGTTTACTGTGAATCAAATATTTAATGCGCATTCGTTTGAATATATGCTTACATATTAATAACATTTTCAAATTCACTCCCTTGTCAAAACTCCTCCTTAAAAGAGAGCAGAAAGGTATATGCAGTTTGTAAAGGTAATTATATTGATTCTTATAAATATATTTACAAGAAATACCAAAAATAATTATTACCATTGTGACCATTGAGAACAGATGAAAAGTTGTAAGAAATGTTTTAATTTAGAAATACATGTAATACATGGGAATGGAACAAGACGTCATACATATAATAATAAAATCTTTCCTATTTTTATGCTTTAGTGTACTTTGGATTGTATACTGTGAAGAAAAAGAAAAACAACTCATTTTTGTGGGGGTTTAATTTTCTTTTTTCTTTTTTGTTGTGCAAAGAGACCTATCAATTTATTTCCATAACCAACTTTTAAGGAAGCTCTAAACACTAACGAAAAATGCGTTTTGGACTTTGAGAAAATTGCTTTATTTAAAGGTGTACATATTGAGTTTATCTAGTTCCTTTTCAGCATAGGGTTCCTGCCTTATTTCTCCAGGGATAAAAGTTTTATAAAAAAGACAAATAGGTGTTAGTAAACAGAAATCACTGCTGTTCATTTACATTGTGAAAATACATGCAAATAAAGTTCCTAATTCCTTTACCTTCATCTAATATAATGTTAAGAATTCTTTTATCTATTTCAAATATTTCAGTAAATTTCATTTTACCCCAAAGGGCAGATCACTCTAACTGCATAAAACTAAATAGAATTTAGCACTCTTTAGTGAGCAGTGTTTAGAGCTTCCTTGACATTTCTAATCAAGATAATACAACTACATTTTTGAAACCACAAAATCAAATCCCACTGAACCTTTCCTCAAAAATGATACCACAAAAATAAGTGATTTTACAGTAATTACATTTAATACCCTTCTTCCTCTATCACACAGTTTTGGGCATTAAATTAGATATCCTAAAAGTATCAATTAGAGATGTATTTAAAAAGTAGCCTACTAATATGATATCAAAATTAGTAATATGTTAAAAAAATGAGCAGTTGACTGCTTTGCAATATTTGTATTTCTTCAAAAACCTTTTATATATCATTTCTGATATCAAACATGGAACCTTTTATAGGCAAGTTTGGATGAAACAGATCCCATTGAGTTTTGGAGAAGATGTTGAAAAGTTTATTTCAGAGATGCATTCACTTGCCAGTTTGAAAATCCATCTGCCTGTTGATATGTACAGTAAAACTTGGTTATAAAGAAGTCCCTGGGACCTTCAAAATTTATTCCTTATAGTATTCTTTGTATCTGTATCCATTTACCGAGTGTAATGTCTTCCAGGAGATTTGAAAATTCTTTCTTATAACCAAGATTCCATTTAATTATGTAATTGAGTTTCACTATATATTAACCTGTCTGTACATATAAAATGTATACTCTGATCAGGTAAGACTCGTTCTGAATCAGGTGAGCCATTAATAATTAAAGAAACAGTCTGACATAGGTAAATTTGCTTACTGTGGTGGGGATCAAATTTTATGGGGTTTTTTTGCAATTAATACAATTCTGTTGAAAAGTAAATTTGTCAATAGCTATCTTGTCTTACTCTATAATTTGTAAAATTTGTAGATAATATCTTAATTTATTGCTCTTGCTTATAACCACAAAAACAATGAAAAATTGGTATTCAGTTAAAAAAAATGAAGAAACCACAGTATTTTGCCTGCCAAGATAACTGCATAAGCATTTAAAGATGTACAAGAAGACAATAAATTATTTCCCAACCTGATGTTTTTGTTTGCTATCTGAAATGTTGATAATTTGCTCCTGTGTTTGGGGTTCAATCTTATTCAGCCATGATTCTACTTCCTTTAAGGCTGTTGTCACTTCCTGTCTGTCACTCTGAATCAGTAGCAACTCTTTTTCTTTGCTTTGCATGACTTCCATAACACTGGTCTGTAGCTCTTGCACATCCTGTAACTGGTGGACCATCTCAAAAGGCAAGGTTTTATTCATGGAAGCATATTTTTTCTCCTGACGTTGCATTCCCTGCTCAAGTTGCTTCACTTTAGTTGCAAATTCTTGCTGAAGCACCTGATTAATTAAAGAAATATACATGTTCATGATACACAAAAATTTGAAAAAAAACTCCACTAAATTGCTTTACATTTTACCACAGTAAAAATGGTCTTCCGACATCTTATTTTCATAAGAAAGATATTTAGGATTTAGGTATTAGAGAAACAAAATTTTCATGATTGTTGGTCTTTGTTGTATATAATATTTAATATTAAAAATATGTGTGCTAGAATAGATTACTGTTCAGTTTTGCTACTGCTTTTACCTTTTGTTCCTGCACCTTCTCCGTTACATCTGACAAATGCTTTCCAGAATCAAGGGTGGTAACTGCGTTTTTAGTTTCAGCCAACCAAGACAAGACGTCTGTTATATCTTTGTTGAAATTCTCTCTGTCTTCTACCTCCTCCTCCAATACAGCTTGTGTTTCTTGAGCTCTGCCTTGTATTCTATACAAAGATATACATAACTTACAAAACTACAGTCTAAACAATTCTAAATCTATACTTTTTCTGGAGAAGGGGGGGGGGGGTGAATTGATAGGCATTATACATGTACAAACAGAGATTCAGAATTGAATCCCAACCCTCAATCCTAGGCATGATTCTTAAAGTGAATATTCATTGAGAGATTTCCTGTACAATGAACCCATTTTGTAACCACAGTCCTGCCAAAGAGAAATGTTTAATCTATACTACAATGTATTCTACATTCTTCTGGCAACACTCGGTATCAGGTTCCTGTACTTACCTGTTTTGATCTCTTGATCTGTGTACAAGTTAGAAGTTTTGTTTGTTTTCTATGTAAGTTCTGTTAAGATCATATGAAATCAAATTGCTCTCCTCAGACCTAGTGAATAGCATGTAAATAATGTTTACAGAATAGATACCTTTCTACTTTCTCCATGACATCAAACAGTTTTTCCTGAATCTGTACCTTCCCCTCAGCGGTAGGCAGACTTTGTTCTAGAGTTTGTGCACATCTTTTCAGGGCAGTTATTTTTGGTTCAGATGCCTCTAACCTACATGTTAAGTCCTGTATAAAATATTTAAATCTATTAGACTTTCATGTACATGTAAAATACTCAAATTTGATTGGCTGAGAGATGTTTGAAAAAATATGAATAAATATATTTAATAATAAATTAGTTCACTTTACCTTTGTGTTTCTCAATTGATTGTTGAGCTCTAAGGTTGAACAATTTTCTACGTCTACCTCAGGTACTCCTTCATCAACTTCCAAAAGCACTTTGTCCAGGTTGCTTGCAAGACTAGTAAAGTCCTCCCAATTTTCACTGATGTTGCACAGTGACATTTGCTTGCTTTCTGCTGCACTGGCCAGTTCTTGCCATCGCTGGTTGCAATCACTAGATAACTTGGAAACTGCTGAGCAGCTTGACAGATTTGCAACTCTCTCCAGTTCATGGGCTTTATCATGCAATTCATTCACTTCTGGATGAACCTTCTCTAGTTTCTCAGAAAGATCCTTTAAATAAATAAGAAATTGAGTTCAAATGTATCCCCAACTGCTTTTTAATGTATACTCAAAAAATATCCATCAATTATTGTGATAATGTATGAGGACACTTTAATGTAAGGCACATGTAATTAAAATTCCATTACAGTGCACTTATATTTTATTTATATTCCTGTATTACTACTGTAAACGTGGAAATGGTTACATGGGGGAAATTTTTGCAAATTCTGCGATTAGTAAAGTTTTGCAAAATATATCACCACATGAACAGTTTCATATAAGGTACCATACTAAACAACAAAGCAGCTCATTTTGTAAATTCTTTACCTTCTTCAAAAATAACCCAGGGTTCCTTTGTTCCATGGAAATCACAAAGTTTTACCCAGTAAAAATATCCCTGTTTACAGTATAACCCCTATCCTCACTTCAAAATACTGTTACCTTGGTGGCCGTCAGCTGATCCTTCACTGCTGATTGGTTAACAAGTGGAATATTTTCATTTTTAGCAAATGCTTCTTCCAGCGTTACAAACTGCTCATTAAGAGCCATAACTGCATCCTATAGAAAGAATAATTTAATGTGTCATAATTAACTTGGTAAAGGTTGAAGAACATACATACATTCAAATATTTACAAACCAGAGAAAATATTCCAATGCTTCTTTTATGTACAACTTACTCTTCAGATTTTCTGATTTCAGGATGTACAACACAATCACCCCCCCCCCCCCCCCCCCCATTTTTCAACACCTCATACATGACAATATATACTATGTATGCATATGTACAATTTGGACAGATTTAATAAAAGTCATTTCCCTTAGATTGTTCACACATTTATTGTGAAGCAATTGTTAGTCTAATCCAATGGTGTTAACAAAACTGAGTGGTATAATATCTATGTAACCAAACCTTGAACAAGTCGAACTACAACTTTTAACCTGAAAATCCTTCCATTCCTTGCTTTTCTGTTCCAGCATCTCCTGCTTTCTGTTTGACTTTGCCATCACTGTGTTGAGTCTTTGATTGGTGTGTTTCAGTGTTTGCCTCAGAGTTTCAGTATCATTGCTATCCAGGGTAGGAAGGAGTCTTTCTGAGAGTTCCTGGACTTGTTCCATTTCATCCTGACACATGCTGGCTTCATGGAAGTAATCCTGTCAAGAAATATGAATAAATATCTAGCTTATATTTCCCAACAAAAACCAATCTCTTTTTAAATTAAGGATAATTTAGGATGAGCTGAAAGAATGCAGTTTGGTTACGAAGGTATAACCCTGGATTTTACCAGACTCAGCAAGCTTTTTACTGACTAAAGATTAGCAAATGTACTGATAAATACAAAGTATCAATTTACCAAATAATTTTAGAGTTGTTTAAATGGAAGATGTGTATTTTTTTCCTTTTAAAGTTTGTTTTTTTGTTTTTTATGAAATTTTTACAACTTAAATTAAGTTTTTTCTCATGAATTCATGCTTTTGAACCTCGATCTTTATGACCAAAATCAAAAAATTCCTCCATGCTTACCTGGTGTTCAGTGAGAGTGTCGTTTAAGTTTTCAAAGTCCAGGGTATCGTAACCCGAGTCTGTGAGAGTTTCTGCCCCTGACAACCAATCATTAATTTGTTTCATGGAGTTGTCAAACTGAACACGGTCTGCCTGAGCGGCAATAAGGTACTGCTCCTTCTTTGCGATAGCACTCTAAAATTGAAACATTCTTATAAAATATCTACAACCAAAATATTTCTTAAATTGTTGTATTCAAATGAGAAAAGAATTACCAAGATAAAATATTAAATCCAGCTAAAAACTAGAGAAGAAGTCCAAGATTCGAAAAGTTTACAGATGGAAAGACAGACAGAGAGATGCCAGACCGAATTTGATCAGAAAAATTCACTTGAACTTAAAGCTATGTGAGCTCAAAAGAAATAGATCTATATCAGTAATTAAAAAAATAAATTTGTGCAAGGTTTGTTTTATTTCTGTTTAGAAAATATGGTACTGTAAGAGAGTTACAGTCCAAAGATGCCAAGGTAGAAAACATTTTATGAAGGTGACTGTTCATTATACATCATATATTTAAAAGTTATTTTTGAATCTGTTTTCTCAAATATTTTATATACATAAATTCCTATTTGCATGTACAAATGAAATTCAAGTTTGTTTTATTTTGTTTTTCAAAGCGATTATTTAGGAAAATAGCTATGGAAAGGCATTAATTGTGCATTACTGTTAATGTTTTTTCCAAGCTGTCAATCTGCTCCAGTTTTTCAACAATTCGTTCAGGAACAGCCTCTCCCAGCTTGTCATAGTGTGCTGTTTCAGTCTGTGCTTTCTCTTTTAATTTGGTTAGTTTTTCATTGGCCTCTTTCACGATGTTCTGCAAAAAAAATACCATATATATGCTAGGACATGTATTCTTTATTCACCTGCAATAATCACTGACAACTACCGGTATTTCAGCTTGAGTATCTAGGAGGTAAGAAAAAAGATGTGGGTCTGTAAGTAAAATTTTGAATACTGTAAACCAACTTTTATTCGTGTGCAATAAATATCCGCAAGTTTCACGACCTTCTTTAACTCCTGAATATTTATCACCACGAACCGTTTATTTTGCTTTGCATTTGAAGAGAATTTTTCCTATGTCACAAAAATTAATCGTCGTGGATGGATTTCAAACTGCTGAATTGCACAGAGAGACAGTCGGAATACTACATTTTTTGGGCAATCATAATTTTTTGTGGGTCCCTAACGAAACATTCATATATTATGTTTTTCAGTTTTGTTTCATGGTTGAAGACATATGTATTTTCAGGTAAGACCATTTAGTATTCAACATTCATATCATCTTCTCAGCAGTGAGTAACAACCCTTGATAATAAAGATTTTTATTTATCATAACTTTTGTAACATGTCCATTTCAACTGTAATCTGTCCTGCCATGCTTTGTTTACCAAGGACTAGTGTGCAGTAGTACCTACCTGATGTTTATGGATAGATGAGTTTATCATGGCTGTGTCGAGATCCAGTGATCCACAGTTAGCTAATGCTTCCTCCTTCTGTTCTAACCAAGATGTAGCCTCTTCAGTTAAAAACTCAAACTCTTCAACACTCTTCTGGATGGCCTTACAATGTTTCAATTTTTTCTGCACTGCTTTCTTAAGAATGTCAGCTTCTTCTACCACTTGTTGGTGCTCCTTCCTTAAGGAACCGACATTTTCTCCGGGATTTTCCATGATGAGTTGTCGTACTTTGTTCTCGAGCTGTATAAGTTCGGAGTCTGTCGCCACTAACCTTTCTGTCATAGCCTTAAAAAGCAAAAGTATAAATTTAAGCTGTAATTAGGCAGATACACAAATTTTTACAATGCAACAAGAAAAAAGTTCAATATATGCATGGTCAAAAGCTCATGTAAGAGAAACATGTATAAATAAAATAAATTTTTTGAAAGGAGATGATAATCCAAATATTAGATGTTCATGTTTTATTGCATTTTACACACTTCTACCTCAAGAGATTTTATTCTTTGTGTCAAGTCTTGAGAGTCCACTTGTTCCAACTCGGCCTTAGCCTCGGATAAAAATGTTTTTAAATTTTTCTTCTGGGTCTCGTACTGCTGTCCCAGCGTGACTCCTTTGTGGTACTTTTTCCTCTGTTGCGTGACTTGGTCTTGTAGGATCTCGTACTTGGTGGTAATATTCAGAATACTATCAGCGTCACTACTCTGACCACTGCTTCTAAGTCTCTCCGATTCTTGGTTTAACTGGGTAATGGTTGGCTGATAAACTGATAAGGTTTCTCCAATCGCCTTTTAAAATAGAAATATTTTATACACAAATGTTTCTGCAGTATCATAAATCACTTAGTCTTTGTACTTTTTCTAATTTTTTTTCCCCCATATCCTTTTTATTTCAGAGAAAAAAAAATATCTACTTTTTTGAGGTTTACGAAAGTACAGTAAAACATGCTTATAACAAAGTGCCAGGGACGGATGATTTTGCTGCATTATACACAGAAATCGTTATATTGGTTAAGTTCACAAAAGATTTTAAAACCACGCTATATGAAAATTACTTCACTGTAAGCATCAATTCATTATAAGCATGTTTGCTATAAGCATGTTGTACTGTAGATTATACAGATCTTACTGAGTTTTACAGAAGAGGGACAAGATAATACTAACTTCACACTGCTTTAGGATTTTCTCGCCATCCACAACATCAAATCCAGAGGCTTTTGGCAGCTTTTTGAATTCTTTTTCAATATTGTCCATCCAATCAGCAGCTTTTGTAATGCTTTCCTGAGTTTCAGCTCGTGTGGTCAAAGCTTCCTTCAGGCACTGCTGTCTGCTCATAATAAGTTCTGCACACCTATTTAATGAAAAAAGAAGAAGCCCATTAGCCTCGATAGTCATGGGGAAATGCAGCAACTTTTCCAGGTTAAGAGCTATAAATACCCCTCTCCCCCCAACAATTCATTTCACAATTTTGGTAAAGAGCACTTTTCTTATTATATTCTGAAAGGCAGTTTGTCCACTAGTACAATTTAAAAAAATTTTGCATTACATTAATGTATACCTTTGGAATTTTTCATTGGCAGAGTGACTTTGTTGTTCAAGTTTTAATTTCTCGTCTTCAGGAAGGTGGCCTTTGATAGAACTTCCAGTCTCTTCTGTTACCTTCACCAGAGATTCAAACATTTTTGACTGCTTTTCTAGATTCTGTAAATTCAAAAGAAACAAAAATTAAATTCAAGTCTATGTTTGAAAAATATAAAATTACTGAAACTATAGATTCATATGTGTCATAGATTACCTGTTTAACCAGCAAGTGAAATTTACATGATTATTGCAAACATTTATTTTTTTTTAATTTATCTCAATTTATAACTACTAAATCATGAAAGATTGCATCTTCAAATATATCATCAAAGCAAGCTTTTCTATAACTAAAATATTTGTAATGAGATGGATACATGTATTCAACAATTCAAGTTTATACCGTGTAATATGTGAGCTGTTCCTCTAAAACTTCTACAGCGGAGTCCAAATTAGGCTCCGTAGCACATCTCATCTCCGTTTCTTTGCACCATTTATCAATCTTATGCTGATCAGTTTCCAAGTTCTTTCTGATAGTAACACCATCACGAAGGAAGTTATGACAAGTGGAAAGGTCATTTGCCAATGTTGAGTAGCGAGTGTTTACATCTGTAAAAAAATATAGACAAAATTATTTTTAAACATTACTCTTACCATATGACTCAACTTTCTGGTTGGCACACATGAGGTCCCAAAATGTTTTTTATGTGATAAGCTAAAAGAATAAATTCTACCATCTTTTTCCTCTTAATTAGAGAAAATATAACAAAATATTACCAGAAAGCTTTTTATCAATCTCTGTCTTTTCCTCTGGAGTACAATCAACATGCAACATTTTTCCTCTTTTCTGCAATTCTTCAATTTGAGGTTTATAGAGTGTCAGCTCATTTTGCAATGCCTATTAGAAAAATAAAAAGACATTCATCTATTTAATTCAATCAAGATTTACAGTTTAACTTAAACCCTCAATTATAATTGGGAAACTGAAAATAACTGCAGACACATGCTTCGCAGATCAACTTTAATATCCCCTTGACCTCTCAGCAAAGAATAAAACATAGGCAATCAGAGATTACAGAGCTCACCCCAACAAATGTTGTCTTTAAGTAAGGCAAAATCCCACACTAAACTAATATTCTAGTAGTGTGCATCCCTAGATGCAACATTTATGCAATTTTGGTCCAAAAGGGCTTGCATTTACTTGGTAATGGACTTACCTAAAAACTTTAAACTGGTTACTCATCCTGAAAATGTAAGTCATATCCAGCATCTGTGCCAAGTTTGAGAGTGTACATCCCTTGATGCAAGTTTGGTTCAGATAGCCCTTATAGTTTACTTTAACCTGGTCACTCATCCAGAAAATGTAGGTCAGATCCAGCATCTGAAACAAGTCCAGTAGTGTGCATCCTTAGATTATCATCCATGCAAGTTTGGTCAATATAGGGCTTATAGTTACTTGGAAATGAGACCTGCTCTAAAAACTTTAACCTGGTCACTCATCCAGAAAATGTAGGTCAGATCCAGCATCCGAAGCAAGTCCAGTAGTGTGCATCCTTAGATTATCATCCATGCAAGTTTCGTCAATATAGGGCTTATAGTTACTTGGAAATGAGACCTGCTCTAAAAACTTTAACCTGGTCACTCATCCAGAAAATGTAGGTCAGATCCAGCATCCGAAGCAAGTCCAGTAGTGTGCATCCTTAGATGTATCATCCATGCAAGTTTGGTCAATATATTGCTTATAGTTACTTGGAAATAGACCTGCTCAAAAACATTGACCTGGTCACTCATCCGGAAAATGTAGGTCAGATCCAGCATCCGAAGTAAGTCCAGTAGTGTGCATCCTTAGATGTATCATCCACACAAGTTTGGTCGATATATTGCTTATATTTACTTGGAAATGAGACCTGCTCTAAAAACTTTAACCTGGTCACTCATCCAGAAAATGTAGGTCAGATCCAGCATCCGAAGCAAGTGTGGTAGTGTGCATCCTTAGATGTATCATCCATGCAAGTTTGGTCAATATAGGGCTTATAGTTACTTGGAAATGAGACCTGCTCCAAAAACTTTAACCTGCTCCAAAAACATTGACCTGGTCATTCTTCAGCTGAAATTGCAATATCTGAAACCTTGGCTGGTACAATGAAATGTACTAGAAGCATCCTTCATGCATCTCTGATTAATATAGGGCTCATAAGTACTTGAAAAGAAAACAGCACCAAAAACCTTAACCTGGGATGCCGACACAGAAGCCGAGGGTATTACATAAGCTCCCCCAACTTCGTTGAGGTGAGCTAAAAGGGTAATGCAAATAGTATATCATCTATAAACATATATCACAAGTATCAAGAGTCTTTACTGTATACAGCTGGGAAATTTTTTTGCCCAACTTCCTGTTGCCTTTTTGCCCTCCTTGTCAGTGGACAAATTCTAAACAGAGTGAAATCAACAGAAACAGTCATCTCTCTTGAACACAACTCTATCAGAGGGTGAATTTGAAATGGGGCAACATTGATTTCATGTGTGAGAGGGTGAAAATAATACAGGGGAAAAATAACACTATATACAGTATTTAAACACTTTGTACTACATACAAAAGCTTACCCTACATCTTTCAACTTGTTTTTCCACATCTTGACTGGCTAGACTGGCAGAACTCTGAAGCTTATTGGCTTCTTTTTCCTTACTCTGGAGCCAATGATAGACCTGCTGTAGTTTGTGGTGAAATACATCCCTCTGCTCCACGCTGCTGGCTAACAGTTTCCGCTGGTCGGTGGCTAGGTGGTACACTTTGTGGTGCTGGTCACAGACCTCCGTAACCCATTGGTCCACCACCTCCCTCTCTGACTGGGGAAGATCTCGCTGCAGCTCCTCCACTTTTCCCTTCACGATTTCAATTGTTGCTTGTTTGGACTGCAACTCATCACAAAGACCCTAGAACAATTTTTAAATGAATTATCATGCTGTATTGTATCAATAAACACTCGAACTACAGTCAAGAATCACTATCTTACACTCAATGAGACAGAGAAAAAAAATGAAATATCCAAGCCTTCGATATATTGAGGTTGAAAATACATTAAGAAAAAAAGGTTTGGACTTCTAAACTCACTTTGTCATATTCATGGTAATTGAGATATTGATATTCAAGATCCGAAATTCAACTATATTTCATATACATGTATATACATGAACTAATTGTGAAAATTTTGTAATGATACCTTTAATTTTTGCAGCCTTGTTTCAGTGTTTTCATTATGTGTGCCTGGAGCCACTTCCTCAGACATTGACTTTTCTTGCTGTGTCAGCCATAGTAGATATTTGTCAACCTCTGCCTTGATATCCGAAAGATTTCCAAAAACAGCATCATACTGCTTCTTTGTTCTATCAATCCTTGACTGAAGTTCTCCATGCCTTTTGTCCCTTGACCTAACCAAGAAAAAAAAATCTTATGAATGTAAAGAATTATGGGAATTAAAGGTTCTTGATAAAGTTTTTAGGCCAAAAATGTCAAATATAGCTCAGAAAGTGACCATCGATCATGCTAGAATCCATAGTAATGTATTGTTTATAAACTTGACCTCTCTCACACAGTGAATCCAAATTTTAATGACTGTGATTGAACAACCCTCTTAAGTCATTCTTAAACTTTGCAGTGAGTGTATGAAGTTTATCAACAGGAAAATATTTATTTCACATAAGTATGTCATTGATAATCTTGATCTTTTAACCTCACATTAGAAAAGTTTACGTTGCCCTAATAAAAATGTCACCAACTATCATTTATCTCTACAGTAAAATGAAGTCTATTTGTAGTTCTTCATGTACCTATGGTATGAAATGAAAGAGTTGATAGAAGGACACATAAAGTAATACCTCCATACATTGATGCAGTTCCAAAAATCATGTATAAAATTTTTGGCATACATGAAAAAGTGCTTTACCTTAAATTTAGATATTCACGGACACTGCATACATGAAATCACATGAAATTATAAGTCTTTACAAAAAAGTGTTGACCCCAATTAAGTTTGTATTAAAGCAAAAAAAAAAGTTAATAGTATAAAGTTTTAATTCCTTGTGATTCAAGATTTTCAAAAAGTTCATAGCACATAACAGAATTGCAGGTCACATTATCCATCTAAATATGACTGATTAAAATAACAGTATGTATACAATGCATTGCTTGAAAAGGAGATTATCATAGGGCAAATAACTGCAAAGTGCTCTTCACAATTTTCAACATTTAAAATTCTAGAAGTTAATCTAATCCTCTAATGCCTGCATGTACAGTTTTATCCCCAACTCCTAATGCCTGTGTTAACCCAACCCCCACTCATGCCTGTGTTATCCTCCATACTCCCAAACTAGATTCCTACCTCAGACCATCTTCCACAAGACTCTGGTCATTTGGACTGATCTTTGGTAGGAGTTTTCCAGCTTTACTGTGTAAACCATCCAGGGAATCTTTCTGCTTATCTACATCTTCTGATAATTTCTGAAAAGGAATAAACCATGATTATCTTTCTATTGCATAGGCAATGCAGGAGTGAATCTTAATTGAAATAAATTTCTGCTTATTTTTCCATTGAAATGGTATCTTTTATAGTCAGTTTTGAAAGAACATTTTTGAAAGATCACTAAGCAGGACCAAGTAGAACTGTGTTCAATTGTTTCTTTATTAGAACTCATGATTACCAAGTCATGTTCTACAACTGTAGATTGGGATTTTAAGGCTGTATATATGTGTTTCTACAAACCTTATAATATCAACCCATTGGTACTCTGCTATGACAGGTAAAAAAGGACATAATACTGATTTTATCACACTGCATGGGTTTCTATTTTTCAAATACCAGTGAAACCATTTAATTGACAATTGATCCACTTTTTTTTTGTCTGCATGTTGCTAGTGCCCTCTTTCATTTTTCTTTCTTGGATTTACTGGTATGTTGTCTGCTCGGTGGGAGAGTGCAGCAAGGATTTTGTTTAGTTTACAAATCATGATATTCTTATAGATAAAATAAACTGTGAATTACACTGTAGAGTCTCAAATCAAAGGACAGACAACTGAACTGCATAAAAGTACCCAAGCATTAGAACTCTTCAGTGTAATACACATGCAGTTTGTATTCTAAACATTATGTTAGAGCAAAATGAAGTAATTGAATACTTTATTGGCATGCGTTTTCCCCATTCAAATTAAAGTCATTTCTATTCATCAATACTTTATTGTCTTTAAATAATTTGTCCTGAAGGAGAATGGCAAGTACCCCAAGTTGAAAATGACGAACACAACATTTTCACCTCTGTATAATATAATTATGTCAAAGTCCAAATATTTAGTGTGACTGTTTTTAAAAACCACTGACTTAAAATCTGTTTACCTCAACTTTTCTCATTTTTTTTTAAAGTTATGTCTATAAATGTGAAATTTTCAAGTAATTTTAAAGGTACATGTATCAGCTTTTGATACATCATATTAAATTCTCATTATAATAGATGTTTATAGGGTGTTGCATGGCCTTATCCAGTTACCAGAATATTATTATAAATGCATGGTATGCAGTGTTTAACACCTAGGAATATTGTATTCTATTAGAAACTCTAATTACTGCTTGTATTCTCTAGTGAATTTCACCTACAGTAGACAACCAATAGGATTCCCTGGCTGCATTATTGAACACAATGCCTGTGAATTAAATATCAAATTGCATAATACAGTATAACTTGGTTATACAGAACTCAGTTTTAAGGATATCTCAGTTATATGGAATTTTTTTAAATGAATCTCCTAGGTGATTTTTTACTATGTCCCCAATACAGCTATAAAGAGTCTCCATTATAAATGAATAAAATGGATTCCTTATAAATGAGTTTTACTGTACTATGCTAAATTCTTTGGTCAACATATTTAGTGTGCAAATTCTGTAACAATTAATGTTACTTAATTAGCTTTTACATTGATAAAAGTAATGAAGTCAGGTCAAAATTTATATGACCAATTTAACAAAAATGGTGATCAATAATATTTATGATATAAATGACTCTTGAACTTGTTGAAAGAGGGATTTTTTAAGGGGTGTGGAGGATTGTATTAATTTAACATTTGTCTCAATTTTTTATTTTACCAATCTACTGACCTATTTTTGGGGGGTCTAAAAAAACTTACACTAGTAAAAAAAGTTTTTAAAAAAATATATATATATAAATTTATATTTACATTTTGCCAGATTTTTTTCTATTAATATTCAAATTAAGAGCTGTAAGCATATTATATTTGGCTGTATTAATGTAACAACTTTGGCAGAAAGCAGCTTCCCCTGAATTATCCTGGAAGCTAAGAACATCACTAAGCATGTCTTGCATATACATGAATATACACATTCAGAAATGCACTAATTAACCTATTGAAAAATTAATTCCTGCCAAATATTGTACAGGCTAAATGCATATATCTATTTGGATATGCTAGTATAAGGGAGTTAAATTGGAATAATTAAGACAATTAAAAGTTTTGAAATTAAATATATTGAAGGAATAAATGTCTATTTCTTGGTGTTTATGAAACATAATTTACCAACCTTGGAACTGACAGATAATTCCAGCATAATTGATTTTAAGTAACATTAATATGAATTACAGATTTGATTCAATTATTAAATCTCAAGAGGGACACCTCAATTTACTTTAAAAAAAATTTTTATTGAAATTGGCAATTTGTTGCTTAAAAATTTAATGCATGATTTGAATTACGCATAAATTCTAACAAAAACTCATCAAAGGGGTTCGGAGTTGTTTATACAGCAATTACGATACAATCATAGCAGTTACAAGTAGTTAATGAATGACTTGTTTAAAGACCCTGTGCTACATTTGTAGGTTGCTAGTATACTCTCTTTCAGGTGTGTATTTTATTCCATTATCTTCCAATTAAGACAATAAAATATGACAAGAAATACAGTCAAACTTCATTATCTCAAACTTGATGGGGCCAAAAAAAAAGCATAGAGACATCTGAAGAGTCAAGATTCTGAGGTTAAATTATGTATGCTTATCATTTATTTTGATATACACCTGCCACATCATCATTTACTTGAATTTAAATAAAAAGGATCACTTGAATGGAATCCAAATGAAAACCTTAGTCATATACACTAGCTACTAAGCAAAGAAGTACTGTTTATAGTATCCATATATACATATCAATGCCAGCACATGTTCTAATGAAATTTCAACTCTGGAAATATTTGAAAGCACAGAATCTTAAAGGAAAACTTTGTGTTTGAAATCAACATACAAGGTTAAAATGTGTTTTAGTGGTATGAGGCAAAATAAAATTATTGTTTGTTTGGAATTGCCTCCTGCCTCATTGAAATGACCCCTCCTGGAAAAATGTTACTGACCAAAAATAAGAAGATTTTTTTTTATTCAATCAATTCTTGGCCTGTTACCACATGTGCCATCCAATCACTTAATAAGTGTAGGATCTAAACAAAACTGGGATCCTGGTTTATGGGAGATACCCTTTACAAAAAGGCAGAAAATAATGTGTCCATTCCTTACTGAGATTTTTATCATCAATTTTTAATTTAACTTTATTTTGAAAAAAAAAAAAGATTTCCCTCCCTCCCTCCTGGGTCTGAAACCTCCGAGGCGGCAATTCCAAACAAACAATTTTTAAGGATGGCCTGATAAATGTTTTGCATTGATTTTGTTCTTTATTTTTTTCTTTTTCATTCTCGTTACCTTGTATAGGATCAGAAAAATGACCAATTAAATTAGTTTCTAGATTATGACCAGATGACAACTCATATTTTATATGGACATATGATATTTTTGTCTTTTTTGAGACTTAATAGATATTAGCTCTTCTACAAACTTTCATTACAAATACTAGGAATTACGGTACTACAAGAAATATTTACACCTGTCAGTAAACATAACTTAAAATTCGATCGCATGAGGTTACATAATGTTTTCATATGTACATGACTTCTAACAGTTGAGACGTTGGGCACTTTAAATGTATATCAGATTGAATTCTTAAATCTCTTTCAATATATAATTCTTCAGTATACCTGTTGACAAACCCTTAACAATAAAAATCCCTCAACCTTCAACAGACACACAATAATATTGACAAGGTAAATTTTGACCCTAATTGTGCCAAAATATAATACTTCAATACACACCAGCTATATAGTCTGTATGCTTTCTTTGTGCATGTATTTTATTGTTTTAACTTTGGAGATGATAGTTTTTTTTACACTTTTGATTTGTTTTGGGACAGTATTAGAGAGTCAAAAATATTTAAAATGTGCATATAAAGCAGTTTGAAAAACTGCAAATAACACTCAGTTTCATTTTCAATACTTATATGCAATATAGACTGACGGAATCAGACTTTTTAATTAAGCATTCTTGTTTTAGAAAGGTATTCAATTATTTGTCTTAAACTTGAAAGTGAAATTATCAAGAGAAATTATGTACAGTTCAAAGTTAAACCACAGTTTCTGTCCAAGTTTACCATCATAAAAGTAAATGGACATCAATTAAAGGGTAATATATAACAAGAGCACGGGAGACTAAGCCATTAAGCCATTTGAAAATTACAGTCATGATTTTGTTTGTCTGGATAGATAATTGCACTTGTTCCAAGTAATTATTATGCAGAGACATACATGTATTGTTAAAAAAAAATATTTAAAAACAATTTTTTGTAAAATTTTAAGTACTAATTTAAAAAAAAATCTGCTGTACCTTTCAGTCATACAATCATGCATTTGAAGTTTATTCAATGACATGCGATTTTTTTTATCTGCTTCATTATTCCACTGAATATCAAAGATATATATTGCAAAACAAAAACATAGACTTGGTCATTGTATTTTTCTATGTTGACTTTGAGTGCTATATAATTCCCAAAAAAAGTTGCAGCTGATAAAATTATCAGAAAGGTGCATGTCCATCAGGAAAAAAGTATTAAATAATTGAAAATAAATTTTAGAAACAAAAAAATACAGATAAGCACTGCATACCTTTTTCTTCTTTTTCCTTTTCTTATTTCTACTGCAGTTCAGACGAGAAAAATTATTTCCCATTTCAACTAAGTAATCCTGTTAATATCCACATATAGTGCCTATAATTCAATTGTTCCAGGCCACATTCACTTATCTTTTCTATTTCAACCCATGATGTGCTTCATCCACAAACTAAGGCTCCATGAGATATGGAAAAAAAAAGCACTGTTTCTCTCTGCCTTAGCTAGCCGACATTTAAAATACCCGTCTTTTACATTTCAAACATTGTAAATTTTACCTATTCAACCATGTAAGTACTGGTGAAAAATCAATCCCTTTAATTTGTATTCCATAAAGTAATGGCTGGCACAGGGCCCTACAATGTTCTCTTACATTTCCTGGATTTTATCTATCTTGTCTACATGTATCTGGAAGACTTAAACATTTAATGGACAGTACTTTCAAGTTGATACCT